TACTGGCTCTGGGAGAAACAGCAGCTCCTGGCGACCACCCACATCGAGGGCCCGGGTGACGGCCTCTGCCAGGTACCGCTGCACGGCCAGGCCCTTCCCAACGCCACCATGCCTCCTGCGACACCACACGAGGTCCTGGGAGAGCTGGGGTACACGGCAGCCTACTGTTAACACCCACGCACAGTAGTGCACTTCTGGAAGAGTCTCCATCACCCATTTTTGATGTTGAGATTCACAAATGACTGGTCCTTTTGGCAGCTGGCCCCGCGGAGCCTATTGCAGCATTGCAAAAAGGAGGGGAAAAAGATCAAACTTCAGATTCAGAAGTACTGCCTGCCAAGTAGCAACACTCAAAAGTTGCTGTGAGACAGATAAGAGAAAACTTAGAGAAAGGAAAGGAGCTACTGTGACAACCACAACCTGCTCAGAGTTGCCGTGAATGCAAGAACTGGAGCAGTCAATCTATAAAGAAGGGCTGAGGGAGTCAGGGATTTTGCCTAGACACGGCCAGTAGTTGTATTCTTAACTTTTGTAAAGAGTTGGAGTCAAGTTTTTCTTACAGATGCTTAGCAAAAGAATCAGAGATACTGGTTGCAGATTGCCAAAGAAAACAGAAATTCTTTCCTGTATATCAAGGCAAAAAGAAAAAAAATCACAATAAGAATGCTGGAAAGCAGTACTGGAAAATAGCCCAGAGACAAGTACTGTCTCTGTCCTAGGATATACTCACAGCTAGACTGGATACAGTCCTGAGAGGCCTGATCCAGTAAGACCTCCTCTGAGCTGGGAGTTGGACCAGGTGAACCAAGAGGTTCCTTCTGCCCTAAATTACTCTGATTCTGTGGTTTTAAAAAGGGATCTAGAATTGCTACAAACTGCTATTCTGAAAATAAGTTTCTTATAGACAGCAAAACAGCTAAGAGAATGAAGATCAATAGTCATCTTCCCCATGAGCTCCTGCCCCTGCTTCCTGCAGGTTGTTCTATTTCCAGATCTGAGCACTACCCCAGAGGAGTAGCTTAGAGCAGCCTGATGGCACTTGAAGAGTTCCTGCATCCTGTTTTGGCTATCGCTTTTTTACTAGTATCTTTCTTGGGAGGTAAATGACCTCCAGGTAAATGTGTTGATGGGGCTTTGGTTGCCAACTTTTCTGCAGTACAGCTACAAGCAGTGGTTGGTCAAACACTAACTTGATGAGCTCTCAGTTCCTGAAAAGGTGAAGGTGACTGTGGGGATCACTGTTGTCAAAAGCCCCATTAAGCATGAAAGCCTTTGTCTTTTCTACCCCTACAGTCTTTCATGTTAGATATTGAGATTGCTGCTCCTCTGTTTTCACCAATAAGCATCTCATTATATGAATTGATGCGCATAACGGGTAAGAGTTGCATCTCCTGAGATACACAAATTTCATCTGGCCTTTGAGTGAATAAGAATATAAGAATAATAATGAAGATACCTGATCTGTAGAGATATATGTTGGCCATGCTTCTGTCATTTGATCCCCAAGGGCAGAATCTACTTTCTCTTCCATATTACATTGTGATTCAGATGTCTGTTTCCATGAATCTTTTCTTCATAACTGCTTTCCTGCATCAGATATTGAAAGCCTTTAGAACAGATGTTGTAAATTGTTTATTTGCTTTCAAAGCTCCAAGAGTGTACATAGTAGCGTAAAATAATTTCTCTCTCCTGTTCTGTAGGTGAGCTTCAGTCCTCAAGACAATGCACAGGTTTGTATCACTGGAAATGGCATTTTTAAACTTTTTAAATATAGTGAAGGAACTTTGAAAGCAACGATTTTACAAAAAGGAGAGCTACAAAATTACCTGTGCCATGCCTGGGTGTCTGCAGAGAGAGTTGTATGCGGCACTGATACAGGCAGACTTATGATACTTGAAAATGGAGAGATGCGCTGGGAGACAAGTGTTGAGTATAAAATACCACCCAGGGAATTGGAAGAAGATACAACAAAAGAACCTGGGAGGTGAGTATTTGAGGCCATTACTAACAGGTTCATGCTTGTGCATGAGAATTACTTGCAGGTCTTTCATTTATTTCCTTTTTGTTCGTTTTATGAATGGGTTATAATATCTTGGTTGCCACTGATTTTTGTTTTGTTTGTCTTTTTTTATTCCTCTTAAGTCTTACTTCATTTTCTGCTTTTGATTCTTCGGATATCTCCTGTGATCTGGTTTCTGATGATAATGGCTCACAAGATACTTTGCCTCGAATATGTGCAGTTGCAGCTTATTCCAAAGGTTTTGCATGTTCATCTAGCCCAGGGGTTGTTCTTCTGTTTGAGAAGAGTGAGGAAAAGGATGTCTACAGGGAGACTCAAGAAATCTGGGTAGGTGGCTGTCTATGACAGAAGAAGAAAAGCTTTTCCAAACAATTATACAATGGAGGCCTGTTCTCTTTTTCCTTTTGATTCAGTGTTTAATAATACATTTTAGCATGACCTTAAAGGACACTCTAAGCATTAGCTAACAGCCCGAGTGATGCAGAAAAGAAGTGACTTGTCAGAGGCTGCACTGAAAGTCAATGACAGTCATCCTTAAGCAAGGTTGCAAAGGTTCTCACATGAGACATGAGCTGTTTTTTTCTTTTCTTTTTTTTCCCCAGGCATTCCTTTTTTTCCCCTCAAGTCTTTCTTATGATGGCTGTAGTGGGTCTTTGAGACTTATGCACTCTTAATAGATTAAGTAACCTAGCAAGATGTCTAACTGTTCTACAGTGAGGTGTGTGTACTTACTTACAAACTGTCTGGACAAAATCATTTAACTCTGATGATCCAGTCATGCCTTTATACCGATTAGATCTTCCCTATGCTTGAGATCTTAAAAGTTAGATCACTAGAACTAGACCTTGTTCCTCTGTGGATGCTTAGTAAAACTGTCCTTGTCAGCTCCCAACTCTTTGCCGCTGGAAGTTGGAATCTATTTTAACAGTACGTTACTGTCATTTGCTAGGGTCTGGGCCTTGCAGTTCCTGTGAAGGAACAGTTGACTTCATCTTGTTTCTGCGGGCCTTTGGCTTTTCAGTACCAGGGTGGTGATGACCCTTAACAGTTCCTAAATGCTGGAAGCTCTCTTGGCTATGGCAGCATTAGTTCATCCTTCTGTATAATAAGCAGTACAAAAATATACATAAAAATGTGATGTGTGAGTGTCATAGCATTACACATATGTAAACTGGACATTTCTAATGATTTCTCTGGGGAATATATATATATATTTGTATATATATATACACACAATGCAGTTTGCTTTAATATATTTTTTAATACTTATAGGGGTCTGAGACTGAAAAAACGCCAAGCCAAATGAATTCATAGAAAGGAAGATTTGTTCCATAGTTATAGACTAGTCCTCTGGAAAGCTTTATGTTCCAGATGAAAAACTTTTTTCCATTGTTAAACAAAAAAATATGTTGTGGGAAAGGAGTTGTCAGCTACAGTGTGTGTGCCCACTACTAGAATACAGGGACCTGTAACATCCCATGCAATGAATTCCTTGTGCAGATTCCTCGGGACTTCTGCAGCAGTGAACCAGACCAGTCAGACAGAGAGGACATTATATGTATATGCTTCAGCCCCTCTGAGGAAACGATGATTGTTAGCACAACTAAAAAACAGCTTTACATGTTTACTATGCCTTCCACTGAGATTGTGAAAGTGAGTACAATCTTACCCAGTAAGGGATGAACTGTCACTGCAAAGGCTATTTAGTGTCATTTTCTGTAATATGTTCTTGTAAAATCCATTAACTAGGGTCTGAACCTTTAAAGGTAACCTGATATTATTCGGTAAACTGTGAAGAATCTTGTTAAGACCATTTAAGTGTGCATGTCACTGTTGGAGCAGCTGATTGAAAGAGGGATTTTTAATGCAACTCTAGTTGAGTTTATGCTCTGCTGTATTGCACAGAAATATTAATGTAATGAAAAAGCCAAAAGTTAGCCATGGGTATCTTACGTTAGTCTGAAATAGTAGCTGTTGAAGTCCTAATTAGAAGTAAAACCCTACTGTGAAGGACAAATTAAAGAAATACATTCCATACTCTGAAGGAATTAAAAAATACAAGGACAGGAGATAAACATAGTGTAATGAAATTAATTGGCATGGAACTAAGTATCTTACCTATATGCAGTCATACAAAAAATCTTTACAGAAAAGAGTTATGCAATTATAGGATCTTTTTTGTGCCTGCACTTTGAAATGTTATTGGTTCTTAATTTCCAGCATGCTGTAATTGAGCATCCTGATTACTTTGTTTAGTACTCGGCACTTGATTATTTTTAAATGCCTGTCTAAGCAGAAATTAGGTGTCTTAGCAGAAATATTGTAGGTACAGTTTTATTTTTTGCCTAACTTGCATTTTTTTGAATACCTGCAATTATATTTTGCTCTTACTAGTATATCCAACCATCCCGCCCCCCCGCCATCACTTTTCTGGATTACTAACTAAAAAGATAAATCTGATTCTAACGTTGTTATGTTGCCAGGGCTTTGTTCTGACTAGTGAAGTGATAGGGTTAAGCGATTTCCTCAAATCTGTTTGATTACTATATTCAAAGAGCTATAATAGACTTCTCACCTGCCTTGCTGCATACACAGTGGCATATTTCTGATTTGTCTATGTTCTCATTGCTTCTCAGGAGAAGTTAGCTCATTTTATACATCTGCATTTCCCATTACATTCTGATGCGATCACTGGTCTCGACAGCTGTATTCGGAAACCCATTGTTGCTACTTGTTCCCTGGACAGATCTGTCCGCATCTGGAATTACAAGACCAAGTAAAGAGTTATTCATGTTCGCTATCATCTCTTGCTTTTCTGGATATTGTATTTAGCAGGAAATAGCAGCAATCTCATATATGAACAACCATATGGTAAAATTCTTATGTGGGATGCAAATGGTCTTATTCACGTGGTTTGGGGAGTATGAATATGCAGTGCTTTTAGGATCAAAATGAACAGAATAAGAGTTTATCTCTACTATGCCATTTTGGTTTCAAAAGTCTGATATGTTTTGGAAAAAAATCTTTAGGAACATATTGTTCAACTTTGTCTTAAGATATTGTTGTCCTGTCTCCTTTTTCATGGCCCTAGTTCTTCAGCAAAATGAGTCCAAGTCTTAAGGATCCTTAGAGGGAAAGACCTCTTAGAACGGATGTTTGTGTATGTATGTTTGCAATCAAAAGTTCATTCATCTTCTTTCTTATATAACAGTAAAGAAGCATTTGCTGTTGCACTTTCCCTGCCTTGTCTGTCCCAGTGGGTTCAGCCTTGCCTTTGTTTCCTGTAACACCTCTGTGATCATAACTTAACCAATTGGCAACACATTTCCTCAAGGATAAGGCAAAGTCAGATTGTAGCTGCTGTTGTCCTGCTGGGCCAGATATTCTCCAAGCAGACTTGCATGGGGTGTTTGAACTGTTGCATACTGAGGGATGGTTCTCTCTTTCAGCACTTTGGAGCTGTACAAGCAATACCAGGAGGAAGCATACACAGTATCTCTTCACCCCACTGGCCTATTCTGTTTGGTTGGTTTTTCTGACAAACTACGTCTTATAAGTCTGCTGTATGAGGACATGCATGTTTTTAAGGAATTCGCTGTGAGAAGTTGCAAAGAGGTAAGTAGTGATTCAGAAATTATATTAGGGAGTCCTGGAAGTTAGAGCAGGGTGATTAAGAATGTGATAGGGGATAGGATCCTCTTCATAGATCCTAATAGGATTTAGAATATCGAAGCAGAGAGAAAAGGATTCTGAGTATTGGAAAAAGAACCTGGAGACTGATGCAAACTGGGAACCAGGGAACCTGAAGAAAGGGGTGGTCTGCTCAGAAATACCAAAGGAGTGAATGTTATAGGGGAAATCATCAATTAAGAAGGCAGTAAAAAGTAAATGATATTGAAGAATTTTATTTTTGTCGCATTCAGATACTAGATGATATCAGAGGAATTCAGTGCATGCGTTTTTTATATCCATTGCATCTTCAGTAATGGGTGATAATGTTCTTTTTGTAGTGTGCATTCAGTAATGGAGGCCATCTTTTTGCTGCAGTTAATGGAAATGTGATTCACATTTATTCCACCACCACTTTTGAAAATACTAATAACCTGAAAGGACATAGTGGAAAGGTCAGTAAACAAACCCTATAATATATGACTGTTTTAAATAAGCACTATTTGATAAGTTTAAGATAAGTTTTGGAAAGGTATCATAAATGTGTCCAAAAATTCAAAATAGAAATACAAAGACCAGTTTTCTTTATGGAGAGATCAGCTAACACTCAGCATATGAACGTGCTAGGTGCATATAAAGAGCCTGTTCTTAAACTGAAAGGGAAGGACTGTCAAGTAGCAGAATGAGTCTAAAGTATCCCAATAATAAATTATGAAAAAAAATTACATTGATCATTTTTAGGACAATTTTCTGTCTGTCAGTTGTTTTTCTTAATGCTAAAAGACAATTAGTTGAGAAACTTTTTTTTTTTTTTAATTAGAAGTATGATTCCAAAGCTGTCACGGATTTCCCAGTAAAATAACTTCTTCTGATATGTCTGTAAACATTGGCTTTCCCTAGATACGTGCAGTTAAATGGAGTGCGGATGATGCTAAATTGGTCTCCTGTGATGCACATGGTGCTGTGTATGAGTGGAACTTGTCGTCAGGTAAAAGGGAGTCAGAATGTGTGCTCAGGTCCTGCAACTACAGCAGCATTGCCCTGTCTCCCTTTCCCAAAATCATCTTTGCTGTTGGATCTGACCAAACACTCAAGGAAATTTCAGAGTCTTCGGTGAGTTAACATTATGTGATTTTGCTACATTCTCTGGGGATGGTACTAGTGCTTTGCTTTAACCATGACCTTCTTGACAAAAATCAGACAATTTCTGATAACTGCAGTTTTTATGGATACTTTTTATTATCATAATGTTCTGATGTCCTTTGCCATGATACTTGAGATTTTTTTCTGTAATTTTATATCTATAACTTTACTTGGATTTCCTTAAAAATACTCTGCTAACCAAATAACTTTGCAATGTTGTATTGACTCTTTTGCTGAAATACAAATTTATTGCATCTACTCATTGTGGGCTACATCCTTTTTTTAATCCAGAATGGTAGTAAATCATATGTGATAAACATCAAAATTCTCACAAGTAGTTAACTTGTGCGCATGTATAAAGTTTAATATTAATTGCTGTTATTGGCTTTACTCCTGTTGGCATGTAGATTCTTTTAACAGCTTTGCTTCAGGTAGTGATATAAAAACTGGTTATGCAATAAGTAATCTTTGCATAATTACTTAACATTAAGTAACAGTATTGTGGAACATAGTGTTGTTTGTTTGTTTGTTTTCTAGATCCTGCATGAGGTTCCTGCTTTTGATGTTGTTTATACTGCAGTAGCTGTTTCCCACTCTGGGCATATGTTATTTATTGGTACATCTTTGGGGACAATTCGAACTATGAGGTACCCATTGCCTTTGCCCACAGAGTTCAATGAGTATCAGGCCCATGCAGGTCCTGTTACAAAGGTAAAATAGAGTATGTTCTTTTCTTTGCCATGGCAGTTACACCCTTCTCCTTTTGCAGTGGGCTTCTCATTTGATAGTATAGCATGTTAAAATCAAGTTTAAACCAGCATGTGGAAAATGCAGTTTAAAACATTCGTAGGAGTCTTGTCTATAGAAACGGACATATTGGATAAGCCTTTTTTGGCTAAAAGGTAGAGGGGCTGCAGTAGCTTGGACAAGATGCCTAATGTGGCATGTCTCTGATGGAGAACTTTGATACAGCTAATAAAGAGGAAAATAAAGTTATGCAGGCTTGAAAATCTCTTGTTGGAATGGAAAGGGGAATGCAATAAATATATTAAGCAATTCACTGCAGGGTATATTGCAGAAGAGATTGCAACACTGATAGCTAACTATAGTGTATTTCTTAAAGGCTGATGAACAGCCTTTTAAGATCCATCCAAGGATATCCCTTATCCAAAAGATAGGGAACAAAGTGCGTGAAGTCTCCAACAAGGGATATTTCAGCATGCTTTATCCAGAAAGCCATGTGTTCTATCTTCTTAAAACAGTTTATAGTTTGGGCATTTAAAATATCACTGTCAAATACAGGACTTTGACTGGATTAGGATCTGAATTCTATCGTTTGGAATCCTTGCTCTGTGCACATGGCCACAAGGATGTCCGGAGATGGTGACAATAATTGTTACTAGGTAGCTGGACTTATTTGTATATTCAGAAGAAAACATTAATCCATCTGTTGCTTAACCAGCTTCTCAAAGAAAAAGGCTAAGAACCTTTGGAATTGTCATATGAAC